AGAACTTGGAAGAGGCCACGGTCTTCGGGGCGCTTGGTTATGACTTGGTCGAGGAGAACGATGGGTGGCAGTTGAGGAGCTGCGGATCGGGTTTTGGCGTCGAGTCGGCTGAGAACGGCGAGGTCGGGGACGTCGGTGATTTGGGCGGAGGTGCGTTCCCCGCCGAAGATGGGATGATGGGGGAGGTTGCATTCTTGTGCGGGAGCTTGGGCCGGAAGAATTCGCTTGATGGCTCCGGCGGTTGCCTGGGAAGTGAATTTCCTGGTCTGACCGGCTGTGCGAGCGGGGGAGTGCCGTGGAGCGGAAGTTGGAAGTGTCGGGACTGGCTTTTGGACAGGAGTCGACGGTTCTACCTCGTATGAGATATTCCAGGCGCTGGACTTGTGGCTGGGGGTGTCGATACGGATGTCGAAGACGGTCTTGTTCTCGGCGTGGTAGTTGGGACTGGCTCGCTTTCGCTTCTCGGCCTTCCACTTGGCGATGTCCTCGAAGCCCATTGTCAGCTGGCTCAAGCCTCGAGAGTGGGATGCGTGGTTCCCAGCGAAGGCGAGCGCTGCTGGGCGAGCGGTGAGCGCTGTGACTGGGCGAGATCGTGTTGGGAACATGTTTCTTGTCGTGTTGGCTTGAAAACATAGAGTTGTGAGAGCTGGGGTCTGGAGGGAAGTGTTGTGGGCGAAGAGATTTTGCTGGCCACGAGTCCTCGGCAGAAACATTTTGTGTGGCAGGCGTCAAGGTTTCCTAGAAAAGGTAGCCTGTCGGCGTGAGTCAAAGTCGTCTCAGTTGTGGCTATTCCAAAGTTTGACGACCCATGATGCTGCGGCAACTTATCGCCCGGTCGTCGAGGGTTCAAGTATCGCGGTGTCCTCCGACTCCCCAGTAACCGCTCCCAATTCGCTGACGCTGCCCGCAACCAGTCTTGAGTCACCCAGTCGGCTATCATGATTGGATGAATGCCATCGACTTCCCAATATCTCCAAGTGAAGGCAGTGCGCCTGAGACAGAAGCCGGAGAGTGAATATCGGAAGCAGAGCTGGTTCGCGAGGAGCCGCGCGACCACTTGGCCGCCTCGACCGCAAGCGAAACGCAGCAGCACATTCATCAATTGCTATGCCACCTAAGAAGAGGACAAAAATGTGTTTTGACAAAACCGGACCTGTGTTGGCAGCGCTCGACTATGTTCTTCACTTGAAGAACCGAGGTGTTTGTCAGGTGTTCAGATAACGTTGAGGGATGTACCTAGACCCGACGCCATTATCCCAGCGCCTCTGGCGTGACACTGGCAGTTGCACAGCCGCTGAGGTCTCCTTCCAATGCGGATGGCTGAGGCTCAACAGACTGCCGTCAGAGCCGCAGTCCCGTGTCACTGTCTGGGAGTGACAGCAGCTGGGGAGCTCGTCATGTACTGGGTTTCTTGTGGGTCAACCTCAAAACAAGGTTAAGAGTTACCCGGCTCACTGAGCTCGTGGCTGGAAAAGATGTTTGGGTTTGGCAAACAAACGAGAAAGGATCATTACTTCCCCAACAACTTCCCCGGGCAACACCTTTTTGTATCCCCCCTGATGTCGACGAGCCGACTACTGTCCCTTGCTTCGTTGCGGGACGCGCCGTGTTAAAACGAGACGCCAAGATACTCCCTTTCACCCCACCTACCGGATCCTCAGGCTGCACCTCGACTTCGGGGACAGGAAAACCACGCGACTGCTGCGGTGGTTGTCTGTGGTGCTGTTGGAGCATCTCACGGGAAAGTCTTGACCTTCTCTGTCGCGCGCAACATACCCACACTCGTGCAATACGCTGCTGAATCGCCCCGACCGCGTGTAAGAGGCTGCCGCGCTGCCGCGTCTGAAGCGAGGCCGAAAAAGCAGTCGACTTGGTCAGCAGTGGCGTGCTTCAGTTTCCTGGTGCCGGCTGGGCGGCCAGACTTGGTTCGAACAGGCCTAGCACCCCGAGCTCCACGGCGCCAGCAAGGGATTGCACGGACCAGTTCCAGGCTAAGCCCGCCCAGACCTGCGGGAGACCGGCTGCCTCCAGGCGCGGTGACGTCTTTGCTGGTGTGTGGTGGGATTTCCAGATTCCGAAGTGTTGGTGAACGCTGAACGAGTCAATAGGAATCTGACAGTGATACTACTGTTTTGTCTGTGTTCTGCTATTGTTGAATAGCAAAATCGCCAGATTCCGCGGCCAGCTCCACTGCCCGTCGGGTCGGCGGGGTGCCAACTATTGCCCGCACCAGCAGCGAGCGCATTGCGCAGCCATGCCAATGAAAATGGCAGCCAGCGCTATTGTGAGCCCCTACCATAGGTGAGAACAGGCTGCGCGTATGGCAATTGCGGGGTTGTCAACGACCAAACCTCCTGCTCTTTCCATCGTCGCTTGTCATACCCTCTTCCCCCCGCAACACCACAGAACAAGCAGCAGGCTGTAATAATCTTTGCGATACCGCCCGCGTTACATCCGCGACCCTTTTTCTACTCTTTGGTGTTAATAGCATTCTTGTCCCACGAATCCCACTGACCGATCGAAAAATCACCTTTGCAGGGATCCTCTGCTTTTGAAGCTGAAGCCCAGCGACACCATCGCGAAGCCGACCGCCCGTCCAACACGACCTCTCAAGCCCGCAGACAGTCCGCCTTCCGTCGCAGACGCGCGTCGCTCGGTTGAGGCGAACAGCAAAACGTCTCGTCGACGATCCGCTTCCGATCCTTCCTCGCCCTCGCCCGAATCGCCGCTCGGCGTTTTGAAAAGGAAAATGCAATTCCGACAGCGACTTTCAAGTAGGGTTTTCGGTGATAATGTGAGCAGCGATTTCACTACTCTCAATGATCCTCCCACCATAGTTCCCCAGGAGAAGCAAGAGGATGAACACAAGAGCAAGATCAGCGAGGATAAGAGGGCGAGAGGAGTGGCTGGCAGGGACGGCACTCCTGAGAACATTGGACACCCCAAGACCTCATCCTTGGCCTCCAAGTTCTCTGCGCACAGAAAGACAGCGCCCAGGTCGGTCGCTGCAAATGCAGCTTCAACTGCGCAGCAAGTGCTGCCCCGAACGGAGACGGGCCACCAAGACGACCGCTGTGAGTGCCGCGGTGGGGGGGCCTAGAGTCCAAGAAGACGACAACCGCCAACCCAACTCCCAAGAAACAGCCTTCCAAGGAGTCTACAAAGAGGGCGGGTTCCAAGAGCACTGTATTCAAGAAGACAGAATCGAACATCAACAAGGTTGTCAAGTCTTCTACGAAGTCGAACACCAAGTTCTCAAGCCCCTCCAAAAAAAAAAAATGTGCCCCGCGGAGTCGCGACTGCCACAGGCAACCCATGGGAAAACATCGGCGTCGGCCGGCGCAAGACGAGAAGCTCAAGACTGATCTCAGACCAGCTCACACCCGGCGTCAACTACCTCACGTGTAAGTCAGCGCCACCTTGAACGGTTTGCCGCCTGACCTGACCAAGAGCTAACATTCTGTAGACTACGATGTCACCTGTATGTCTTTTTTTTTTTTCTCGGCCCGAGCTTCCAAGTCTGGGCTGGCACATTTAGCTAACCGTTTCATAGTGAGAACCGAGGACATTGTCGCCCTCAAGGACGACTGGCTCACCGATAACGTACGTCGGGCCACCTGCCCTATCCTCCCTTCCTCTTTGTGACGCCGCTGACTTGCCACAGAACATCTCATTCTGGCAGGAGTATGTGCATCTTTTTGCTATCGCGGTAGCAACGCTCTTCCGTCCCTTGTGCGTATCGACTAACCTCGCTGCAGGTGGCTTGAGCGAGAGGTCCTGCCCAAGTACCCAGAAGCACGCATCATCCTCATGCGGCCAAGTTTGACATTCCTACTCATGCAGGCGCTGGATCTCAAAGGTGCCAGTAATGCTCTACCCGACCTCAGAAAAGTCACCCACATCTTCCTACCCGTCAACGATAGCCGGGCCCGCGACAAAGCCGACGGGGGTAGCCATTGGTCCTTACTGCTCGTGTCATGTATCGACGGAGTCGCGTTTCACTATGACAGCCTTGGAGGCAGCAACTTCCTCGAGGCCCAAAAGTGCGCCGATAGGATTGGCAAGGTCATCGGGCAAGCGCTGCGCTTCCACCAGATGGAAGACAGCCCACAACAGGAGAACGGCAATGACTGCGGGGTGTACGTGTGTATTCTCATGCGGCATCTCCTGATCAAGCGTCTTCTGAACGCCAACGCGAACGAGAAGGTGTCGATGTCGATGGCTAACAAACTAATCGACGCTAAAGGGGGGAGAAAAGAAATGATGAAGATCATCGAGTCACTTCGCAAGGAGGGCGAGCGGCGTCGTAGTGCGAGCCCGTACGCTCGCGGTCGCGCCCACGATGGCGCACCACGGATCGACTAGTAACCGAGCCGATGTTGTGTGCCTCTGAAGGTGACTCATGATGGGGAGAGACAGGCGTTTGGTGGCGGCATTGATCTTTGCTGAGAGGGAAGGGGAAATGGGGCGGCAGACCCCAGGGTAAACGGTCGGCGTTTTTGCCTAGGCATTTTTATATCATTTGTTCGATTACCCATACGAAGAAATGTGTTCTTCGCATTGCTTGACGAAACGAGACTTGTGCAATGTGTGTGCAGCGTGAAGCAGGAGTTTGAGAAAATGCCCAGCTATGAAATGCTAGTTGCGGTGTAGCAGAAGCCATCATATCATCTAAAACACTTCAGAAGCGTGATGCGTGTGTTTCTCCTGTCGATGCCGAATCATAGCTTCCAATGCCATACTGGGGATGGAAGCACCGGGAGCGTATGTATGTAATCCCCACGTAGATTCGTTGAAAATGACCGCAAGGCAGGGATACTTCTGCTGGGTACTCCGAATTTAATCTCCCTTGATGTTTCCCAGCCTGACAAAGTTTCTTGCCCACCCCTGACCGTGGCTCTGGTGGGCCAGACGCATCTCTTCTGCCGACCCACAAACTCCACTGGCCCTCCTGATATGGCCGAATAGCCGCACACACTCTCAACAACAACCAGGCATCCGCCCGGCTAGCTCAATCGGTAGAGCATGAGACTCTTATGAAGATCCTTCAGATTCTCACGAGATTCATCTCAAGGTTGTGGGTTCGACCCCCACGTCGGGCTCAATTCCCGGCGATTGCCCCTTTTTTGCTGCCTTACAGCTCATATTTGCTGTAGATGAAGCGTAGCAAATCACTGAAACCAACACTGACACCAACACTGACACCAACACTGACACCAACACTGACACCAACACTGACACACCGCTCACCAAGAGCCACAGCCACAATGCTGCCCAGATAACTCAAGTTCCCCAACGCCTGATATCTATGCTCCGCCCATCCATCGATCCACCCTCACTCCTTTTTCACCAAAAACGCCGGATTCTGCTCCATCGTCGAGGAAATGAACCCCCTCAGCGCCGCCCACCGATCCGCTGTCGCCACCTCCTTCTCGCTCTTCTTCTCCCCGTCCTTCTCAACCTCCATCCCCTCCCCTGCCACTGTTGCAGGCGTCGCCCCCTTCACCATAGCCAGCTGCGCCAGGCTCCTCCCAAATCTCTCCATCTCCCCCTTCACCACTTTCTCTTTCCTTTTCAGCGCCCCCGGCCTCGACTTCAAACTCTTATGCCGCACCTTCCCCGCCGCCGCCTGCTCCTTATCCATCATGGTCTCCTCCATCTCGCCCGCGATATCATCTAACGCATCGCCAAGTGACTCCAGCGTAGTGACTAGCTTCTTGGAGGGTCTCCTGCGCTTTTTGTTGCCGCTCGGTGCGGAGGCTTTGGAGATGCGGCTGACGAAGGAGGAGTGCTTGATGAGGTGCTTGTCTTTTTTGGAGTTGAGGAAGGAGTCGGATATGACGGCATTAGGACGGAAGGTCTTGGGGAGGGCGGGGCCGGAGGAGGCGGCGAGGCGGGCGCGGACTTTGGAGCGTGCCGTGGTGCGCTTGGAGGGGGCGGTTGGGCCCTGGGGGGACTCGTTAGTGAGCTGGGCAGTGGAGAGACGGAGAGACGTTCACCATTTTGTGGGTTGTGTGATTTGAGGCTGATTGGGGTGCGGCGTGGTGTTTGTGCGGGTGTAGACTGAGCTCGAAGTCGAGGTGGTGCGACGAGATGCCGCAGGTTGAACTTCTCTGTCGATGCACTCGAGCTGGTGTTGTGGATTGCAACTTTTTAGCGGGGCTACGTGGGGTTGGGGAAGGCAGAAAGTTCACCGCCTTGGGGAAGTGACGGGTTGCCAAGACCGCCGCAACCCTTCTGCTGTGGGGTTACTCAGCCCTACCAGCCGTCACGCAGGCCCGCATTAGACGGGACTTGAGACCTCGGAGGGCGAGCGGAGGAGGGCGAGTTCCGGGTGGCAAGCTCAGGCTGGATAAATATGATTAAGCTCCCGAAGCCGCCATTTATGATATTCGCATCCAGCGAGTTTAGACTATGGTTTTCTTGATTTCTTGGCCCAAGTTATGACGAAGATGGATCACGAAGCCCCGCAGGAGGGGCTCAACGGCAAGGATGGGCATGCGCAGCCACACGACCGGCGACTTACAGATGAAGAGTTTGAGCGGTACTCGCGCCAGATGATTGTCCCCGGTGTAGGGAGAGAAGGTGAACCATTTTTCTCCGTCAGTGTCGCATTATCATCGTCCAACTGACAGGCCCCAGGTCAACTGCGGTTGATCTATTCCCGCATTCTTATCATCGGCGCCGGCGGTCTCGGCTGTCCCGCTGCCCAGTATGTTGCCGGCGCCGGCGTTGGCACCATTGGGATTGTCGACGGCGATGTAGTCGAGATGTCCAACCTCCATCGCCAGGTCGGCCACGCGACATCCCGACTGGGCATGAAGAAAGTCGACAGCCTCATTTCCCACCTCCGTGACATCAACCCCCTTCCCGCCTACGTGCCCTACACCTTCCCCGTCACCCCCGAGAACGCCGCGGACATCATTTCTGGCTACGACCTCGTCATGGACTGCACCGACAACCCAACCACCCGCTACCTCATCTCCGACGTGTGCGTCCTCCTCTGCAAGCCCCTCGTCTCGGCCGCCTCTGTCCAAAAATCAGGCCAGCTGATCGTCCTCAATTGCCCACCCACCCCGCAAGGCCGCGTAGACGGCAAATATGCCCCCTGTTACCGCTGCTGCTTCAAAAAGCCTCCACCCCCCAGCTCCATGGTCTCCTGCGGCGAAGCCGGCATCATGGGCCCCGTTGTTGGCCTAATGGGCGTCGCCCAAGCCGGCGAAGCCATCAAGATCCTCATCTCCTCCCTCCACCTCCCCCAGCCTTCGCCCCCCCCCTCCTTCCCGCCTCTCGCAGACCAAAACCTCATCCAACCGACCCTCCTCATCTATACCTACGACCTCAGCTCCGCCATCGGTCCCTACTCCTTCCGCCCCCTTAAAATGTCACCCCGCAAGAAGACTTGCTTCGCCTGCGGCGAGAACTCCCCTTCTACCCTGACGCTGGAAGGCATCAAATCAGGCACGCCCAACTACGAGCAATTTTGTGCTCTGCCTGTGCCAAAGCACACCCTTCCTTCCGAGGAGCGAATCTCCGCTAGGGTCTTCCACGATATGCGAGAGAAAGGGGAGATTGGGAGACATGTGCTGATTGATACGAGGGAGAAGGAGCATTTCTCGTTTGGAAGCATTGAGGGGGCAGTGAACGTCCCGTTTGGGAGGCTGTTGATGAGGGCGGCGGAGGTGAAGAGGGATGGGGGTGATGAGAGTGGGATGCTGCCTGGTGTTGTGGATGGTGATGCGCCCATTTTTGTGGTTTGTAGGAGGGGGTTGGACTCGCAGGAGGCGGTGGAGAAGCTGAAGGAGCTGGGAGTGGATAAGGGTGGAAGGAGGAGGATTATGGACATCGCGGGAGGGATGAATGCTTGGAAGGAAGAAGTTGATCCTAGTTTTCCGTTCGTGTGAGGGAGGGCATAGATGATAGACCGATCCTTGTCATTGCATAGCATGGTGGCCATGAGTGGAAGCCAATGTTTTGTTGCCCCCTAGAGGTGTGGGACAACATAATCCAGAGCAAGGGGAGACTGTTCATTAAGTCGTCCTAGCGGTCAATCTGACCTAGGTATGGTACAATGGGGAGTTCCTGAACACCATCGACATAAGAAACACTGTAATGAACTGTAGCGGGGACTTGAGCTTTTGAGGCTTAGGGTTACCAGTACGTGTGCTCGTCCAAGGAGTGTGACCATATTGCTGCTCCTACTCGCAAGACCACTATCGAAACACGAAAACCCAGCAACTTTTGCTTTCATATCTGCGTCAGTTTATAAGAAGGGCGAGCTGCGCTTCTTGATGTAAGCCCGCTGGTCCTTGAGCCACTGTCGGTAGCCCGCAACACTCGAGATCTTCTCGCCGTAAAAGTCGGGTACTGCATCACGCACACATTAGCCCCTATCACTCTATCTCCTCCCCCCCCGACAGCAAACCCAAACTCACCGGGATTGTTCATCGAGCTCGACGTCGGATCAACGCGGTGCTTCTTGATGCGTGCAAAGAATTGGCTCTCCTTCATCGCCATCTGCGCCTTGTACTTCCTCTTGAATAAGTTAAACACCACTGTCCCCAGCACCGGCCCCACAAGCCATCCCAGCGCCATGAAGCTGAACGTCATCAAACCCATCGTAACAAACGGATCAAGCGGGATCTTGCCCACCACGCTCTCCAGCGCGCCGGACGAGAGGACCGCGAAGCCGCCTGTGCCACCGGCAAGTGCGCCGGCGCCGGAAAATACCTGCTGCAGGCGTCGGCGGGTCTTGCGGAGCTGGAAGAAGGTGTTCCAGTCGAGCGTGGCAGACTCGGGGTGCGCAGCTACCTGAGCGGTAGCGGCGGCCTCGGCAGCGGTGGCGTCAGTCTCAGCATCGGTGCGGGAGCGGACGGTGGAGGCGTATCGGCGCGGGGTGATGGGTTGAGAGCATACGACGCGGAAGCGGATAGTGGTAGTAGAAGCCGTCGAGAGGGTTCGGCGGGCTGGTATGGCCTTGGGCACCATGAAGAGGCCGGCCTTCGCGCTCGAGTGCGGGCAAGCGGCCGCGCGGAAAAGGATGGGTTGAAGGGCGCCGGCGGAGCGGCCCATGCTACTGCGAAGCATGGTGGTTGCCGACGAGGTCAGCATCTTGGGGTGCTGTTGTTGTCAATTGTTCGGCGGGAAAGGGCGGTGACGTGGAGTGGGCGGATTAGCGCGATGGAAAGCAAAAAGTAAACTGAAAACGATGAGTGGAGTGGAGAGGGGTGAAGGACTTGGGCTGTCGTGGACGCCGAAATAGACTTTGTGATGCCAAAACACAGCCTTCGTCCGCACAGCTGGACGATGGTGACCACAGCTCCAAGCTCAGTCCAGGTTTTTGCCGCCAAACGCCCGCTTAGACGGGGCTAGGCAGCTGAGCTCACCGGGGGTTAGGGTTAGCCAAACCACTTGACTCACAGGCACAAGAACTTCTGATCAACGTGGAAAGACGTACACAGCAATTGAGATAGTTAAGAAAATATGTGCAATACTGCCTTATTTCTACTGCGGACAATCAATAGAAATTGGGTTGACCTGTTGAGCACATAGTGCACTACGCGCTTGCCTCAGCTACCCTGGTTGTGTCAATCAGGCAGGGATATGCAGGTAGCTTCATAAACTTTGGTTCGAATTGTTCTTGGGAAAATAATAAGTCAGCCATTACTTGAAAACTTCAAGACGCCAATTTACATCTTTATTCATGGGTTCAAGAATACACAAACCCGTTTGACTTCCTTGTGACAGGCGCCCGGCCCGCTGCTATCCCGAGGCGGTTAGTAGCGCTATTAGTTTAATCGATAAAACTACCACCACTTACCTCACGCAACCTGACTTGGCAAGACGCGGTCCCAACATCGACTCCCACAATGGTCGCAAGTCGACTGGTGACTGCTCCAGCTTTCGCCCTTCTCTGGGCATAGCTTCTGCGCGTTTTGGTTCTTCCTCGGAATATTCTGCCTTGTTTTGCCCAGTCGAAAGATCAGACCGCAGCACGAGACTCCTTGTCGCATTCGGCGCATTTTCTTCCCAACGCGCGACAGCACTTGCCCCACCTCCGACGACGACGACTACCTCTCCTTCGCTATTTGCGCTCCACCAT